ATGCTGTAATAAATTATGGAAAATTTACACAGAGATTTCAGATCTTTTGCACCAAAATAAACTTACCTTTTTAATTCCATTTTCTATAACCTTTTTTTTTTAAAAAAAGAAAAGATTTTATTTATTTGAGAGGTAGAGTTACAGACAGTGAAAGGGATAGACAGAATGATCTTCCATCCATTGGCTCACTCCCCAAATGGCCACAGTGTCCAGGACTGAGCCAATTGGAAGCCAGGAGCCAAGAGCTTTGTCTGGGTCTCCCCTGTGGGTGTAGGGAGCGCTTGGGCCATCTTCCACTGCTTTCCCAGGCCATAGCTGAGAGCTGGATCCAGAAGTAGAGCAGCTGGGACTCAAACTGGTGCCTGTATGTGAAGCCGGCACTGCAGGCGGAGGATTATCCTACTGCACCGGCCCCCTCCTTGACCTTTCTGAAGTACTTTTGTATTAAAGGGAATGGAGGGACTGGCATTTGGTGCAACAGTTAAGCCCCTGTTTGGGACACCCTTATTCCATATGACTTTGCCTGGTTCAAGTTGTGGCAGTTCTGCTTCCAGTTCAGCTTCCTGCTGATAGTAATAAGCACCCTGGGTAGCAGTAGATGATGGCTCATGTCTTTGGGTCCCTGCCGCCCCTGAAGGAGGCCGTGGTAGAGTTCCAAGCCCCTGGTTGGCATAGTTGACTGTGCAGGCATTTGGGGAGTAAACCAGCAGGTGAAAAGTCTCTGTCTCTTTGCCTTTCAAAGAAAATAGAAGTAAATTAAAAGTTTTTTGTTTGTTTTAAGATTAATTTACTTATTTGAGAGACAGAGTTACAGAGGGAGAGACAGAGAGAAAGGTCTTCCATCTGCTGGTTCACTTCCCAGTGGCTGCATTGGCTAGAGCTGAGCCGATCTGAAGCCAGGGGCCAGGGCTTCTTCCGGGTCTCTCATGTGGGTGCAGGGGCCCAAGCACTTTGGCTGTCTTCCACTGCTTTCCCAGAGAGAGCAAGATGTGAGCACGAACCAGTGCCCATATGGGATGCTGGTGCTGCAGGCAGAGGCTTAACCTACTATGCTGCAGCGCTGGCCCCAGTTAAAAAAAATTTTTTTTTTTTTAATTTATTTGACAGAGTTAGACAGTGAGAGAGACAGAGACAGAGAGAAAGGTCTTCCTTCCATTGGTTCACTCCCCAAATGGCCACCACGGCCAGAGCTACGCCGATCCGAAGCCAGGAGCCAGGTGCCTCCTCCTGGTCTCCCATGTGGGTGCAGGGGCCCAAGCACTTGGGCCACCCTCCACTGCCCTCCACTGCCCTCCCGGGCCACAGCAGAGAGCTGGACTGGAAGAGGAGCAACCGGGACCAGAACCGGGCGCCCGTATGGGATGCCGAGGCCGCAGGTGGAGGATTTAACCAAGTGAGCCACGGCGCCGGCCCCCTAAAAGGCTTTTAAAAATTCTGGAGGTAATGGAGTTAAATGTTGTAGTTTGAGAATGTAAATAAATATATAAATACAAACATAACACATATATGTATGTTCATTGTTTAGTTTCTTAGGTTTAACCTGACTAAAGGATCAAACCTAGAAGAATTAATAAGATTGTTTTAAAGATTTATTTATTTATTTGAAAGAGTTAGAGGAGAGAGAAGGAGAGGCAGAGAGAGAGAGAGAGGTCTTCCATCTGTTGGTTCACTCCCCAGTTGGCCACAACACCAGTGCTGAGCTGATCCAAAGCCAGGAGCCAGGAGCTTCTTCCAGGTCTCCCACGCTGGTGCAGGGGCCTAAGTATTGGGCCATCTTCTGCTTTCTCAGGCCACAGCAGAGAGCTGGATCGGAACTGGAGTAGCCAGGACTTGAACCGGTGCCCATATGGGATGCTGGCACTGCAGGTGGAAGCTTTACCTGCTATGCCACAGTGCTGGCCTCAAGATTTTTTTTTTTGAAATGGTGTTTCTCTTGGTAGTTTTTTTTAAAATAGATACTGCATTACCTCCCTTAACTCTGCCTCTGTATGTGTGCACACACACAAACACACACACACTTAATTTCAATGTAGTAGATAGAATGGCGCTTTATAAAAACGCAGATTAAGCCATTTCTTTCACAGAACCCATCGTTGGTAGATTTCCCATCTCACCCAGAGGAAGGGGTCCTTTCAGAGCCTTCAAGGTCCTACACAATCTGTGTTTCCTACCTACTGTCACACTTATCTGATCTTCTATTTGCGTTTATTTGAAAGGCAGAGGTGATACACAGAGGGAGATCTTTTATCTGTTGATTCACTCTAAGTATCTGCAACAGCCTGGGCTGGACTAGGCCAGAGCCATCCTTGTCTCCCATGTCTGTAGCAGTTGCCCAAATATTTGAACCATCATCTTCTGCCTCTCAGTGTGTGCATTAGCAGGAAGCTGGATAGAAGTAGAGGTGGGACTGGATCCCAGGCACTTGGATATGGGATGCAGGTGTCTCAGTGGTGGCTCAACTGCTGTGCCACAATACCCACCTTTCTCTCTGATCTCATACTAATCTCCCCTTATCCATCCATTCCAAACTCATGGACCCTTTTACTATCCCTGCCCTTAGCCTCAAGATCTTTAGTTCTTCCCTGTTAGAACATGATTCTCCCACATACAAGTTGTAGCTGTGACTCAGCTAACTTTATTTCCTGCGTCTTCTCAATGAGGCCTTCCCTTTCCACCCTGTTTCAAGTTGTACTTTGCTTGCCCCACCCCCAAAATCTATCCCTGGGCTCCCTCGCCCTTTAAAAGGCCTGATAATTCGCTTTATTTTTCTTTTTGTTCCTTTTCCTTTCTTGTCTTTAGATTTGTTTTTATTTGTTTGAAAGGCAGAGAAGGGAGAGGGAGAGAGAGAGAGATCTTCCATCCGATGGTTCATTTTCCAAACGGCCTCAACGGCCAGGGCAGGGCCAAGTGAAGCCAGGGGACAGTAGCTTCATTCAGCTCTCCACATGGGTGCAGGGGCCCAAGCACTTGTGCCATCTTCTGCTGTTTTCCCAGGTGCATTAGCAGGGAGCTGGATCAGAAATGGAGCAGCCAGGACCCAAACCAGTACCCTTCTGGGATGCCAGCATCACAGGCGGTGCTTTACCCAATAAACCACAGCACTAGCACCGTTTTGTCTTTCTTGTGTAAAAACTGCCTAGTATGCACAAGCAGAGCTGGATTCTCTGCACACGGATTCTGGTGTGGCCTTTCAAGATGAGCAGTGAGCCTTGATAGGGAGACTTGCTGAACACAGGCTGTTCTTTCCACAGGCCATGGGAAAGTGAGCTAGTAGGCCTCAGATATGGGATCCCAGGTGGCCTGGGCAGAGTTGCCCAGAGTGGCACCTTAACTCCTGGCTGAAGTGTAGCAGGTGTTGATACTGGCTGTCAGTAGCAGCTTCTTGGGCAGAGGAGCTGAGATGATGCCAGTGCCTGTGGGGGTAGAATGAGCCACAACCACAGAGTCACAGTGGTCAGCCACCTTGGATGGGACTGCATGGAGCTCGGTGATCTTGTCCCCCTCACTATACGTGGGTGACGGCAAGATGGACCGGGATGGTGAGGTTACTGTTTCCTTAAAGCACTTAACACCCAGATTGATATTAGTGTTGTAGTCCCTTAGGGCAATAAATGCCTTGAACTCGTTCCGCTGGCCAGTGCAGGTCTACTCTTACACAGGCATAACGTTTAAAAATCTCGTACTTGAGAACATCCCCAGGAAAAAAGATAATAATCTCAGGCTGGGACTGTGATGGACAGTGAGAAGAGAGAGATCTCCTCCAGGAACTCGATCTTCGTCTCTTTGACCAGGTGGCTCAGTTGGTGACTGGCAGCTGCTTTATATGGAATAGTCAAAAACTGGAAACAACCCAGATGTCCTTCTAAGGATGAATAAACAAATCGTGGAATACTACTCAGCAATAAAATGGGACAGACTCATACTACATGGAGCAACTTGGATAGCATGTCAGGGACATTGAGAAAGCCACAAGTGCCAATTTAAATTAAAGATAACATACTTCCTGATTCCATTTAGATAGCATTCTGGAAATCACAAAATTATAGACCTGGAAAACACTATTGGCCAGGGTTTGTGTGGGCAGAGGGGTAATATGATAAAGTTGCAGAGAATTTTATTCACACGCACACACAGATGAGTGCATTTAAAAACCATGAAACTGAATACTGTTGTGGATTGTACCAGCCTAGCCTTCCTGGTTTTGCTGTTGTACTCCAGTTACATAAGAGATCACCATCAGGGAGAGCGGGTGAAAGGTACCTGGGCCTTTGCTGTTTTTGTAACTTCCTCTAATGGTATATTTATTTCAAAATAAAAGAGGAAGTATCAGCTAAGAATAACAGAAATGAAGTGTTAGTAGGAAGGATGTGGGGTTGTGAGTGGGATTTTTTAATTTTGGTTTTTTGAAAAACTAGGGTGTACTAAATCACACTTTGTATGTTGATGAGAATGATCTGTAGGAAGGGAATTTGTGATACACTGAGGGCATCATTCAGGAGCAAAATACACCTGAAACTTCTGACTGAACATGTAGATGGATTTCTGTCCTGTGTGTAGTTACTGATAAATGCAGTTCTCTTTGTACAACTTTGTGTGGAACGTTGTAAGTGGGGCTCTGCCATCCACGTGTTTTATGTTACATTGTGGAGCTAGGTCACCAAATAAAATGGAATTCCAAGAGTGTTTTTGGTGCATCCTGGTATTTATTTAGTCACTGCAAGAGTTTTGTGTATCATTTTCTACTGTTTTCCTTTCCAGATGTTCATCCAATATGGGTGCATTATAAATTTCCTTGAACTGAAAAGTTATTTTATATATATTTATAAAGAACCATAATTGATTATAGTAAAAAGTTAAATGAGTGGTTGTCCCCATCTTGCTTTTTGGTAGATAGTTGGTTTTTAGTCTGTATTTTAGCAAACTGTTCTCTGGTTTTATTGTTTAACTGGAAAGTAATAATATCAAAATCCTGACTACAGATTATTGACTGTTTGTTTCAGGGATACAGCAGGCCAGGAGCGGTTTCACACCATCACAACCTCCTACTACAGAGGAGCAATGGGTATCATGCTAGTGTATGACATCACCAATGGTAAAAGTTTTGAAAACATCAGCAAATGGCTTAGAAACATAGATGAGGTAAGACCTAGAAACTTCATTAACCCTTTATGACCATATTTGTGTTCCTGTTTTGGAAGAATATTCCAATTGACCTTAGAGATATAATGTATCATTATTATTGAAGTCATTATTGAGATATTTCTATATTTTAGAAGTAATGTTATTTTCTTCATGCCTTTTCCTTAGTCTGTTTAGAACTCTATCAAGGGAACTATTAGTTACCAAAAAATTCTCTATAGCCATTTTATAAGATGGCCCCAAAGAGAAACCACCATTGATTTTTACAGTTTCCCTCACTGAATGAATTCTCTCAGTGAATGTTTATTGGATGAGTTAATGAAGTCTTTGGTAGTAATTAAAAAAAATTTTTGGGCCGGCGCCGCGGCTCAATAGGCTAATCCTCCGCCTTGTGGCGCCGGCACACCGGGTTCTGGCCCGGTCGGGGTGCCGGATTCTGTCCCAGTTGCTCCTCTTCCAGGCCAGCTCTCTGCTGTGGCCAGGGAGTGCAGTGGAGGATGGCCCAAGTACTTGGGCCCTGCACCCCATGGGAGACCAGGAGAAGCACCTGGCTCCTGCCATCAGAACAGCACGGTGCGCCGGCTGCAGCGGCCATTGGAGGGTGAACCAACGGCAAGGGAAGACCTTTCTCTCTGTCTCTCTCTCTCACTGTCCGCTCTGCCTGTCCAAAAAAAAAAATTTTTGTGGCAATGTCATACCTCTTCGTGACTTTGTTAAATATACAGAGTTTTACTATAGTAAAAGCCTAACCAGTGTCATGTCATTACGTGTAATGTTATTGTAAGTAATGTTGCTTATCAATTCACAGCACAAGCAGGTGTTATCTCACATCAGGTTAAACTACTGCTGGAGATGCATGCATTCCATGTTGTAGTGCAGGTTCGAGTTCTACATCCTCTTTCAATCTAGCTTCCTGCTAATATGCCTGGGAAGGCAGCAGATGATGGCTCAAGTCCTTGCGTCCCTGCTACCCACAGGGGAGAGCTGGATGGCGTTCTAGGTGCCTGATCTTAGGCTGGACAGTCCTGGCTGTTGAGGCCATTTGGGGAAAGAACCCTCAGATCAAAGATACTCCTCTCTCCATCTCTGTCTTCCACTCTGCTTTTCTGTATTTGTATTTCTGTATTTCACTCTGTATTTGAAAGGCAGAGTTACAGTGAGGTTGAGGCAGAGAAACAGAAGGAGGTCTTTTATCCGCTGGTTCACTCCCCAGATGACCGCAACAACTGGTGCTGGGTCAGGCTGAAGCCAGGAGGAGCTTCATCTGGGTCTCCCAAATGGATGCAGTGGCCTAAGTACTTGGGCCATTAGCAGGGAGCTAGATTGGAAGTGGAGCAGCCAGGACTCAAACTGGCCACCCAAATGGGATGCTGGTGCTGCAGGTGGCAGCTTTACCCACTGTACAGCACTGCCTCTGAAATAAATTTTTTTTAAAAGCAGATTTTGACTGGATACACAAAGACTAAGTCTTAAGCCAATTATTTGATTCAAGACAATACCTTTAGTGGTAGCAGTACAAAGGGTTCATTACTAGTTTTTTAAAATTCTTTATCCTTTATTTTATAGTTAGACCAGGTAGTCTGTGTTAAACAGTTTAGTTAGTCTTTGCAAGGTTGTCCTAACGATCATTTCTCTGGCTCTGCATCAGCTGATAGCCAAGGATTTGATCCTATTCTGACATTAAATACCCAGAGTTGTGTCCCACTCCATAGGTTTAAGGGCTCAGGCCCTCAGGACTGCCCTCCCTCCCATTAGACACCAAATTCTGGGACCCCAGGTTACCCGCACTTCCGTTTCAGGTTTGATAGTTGGCTACAGTGAGTCCTAGAACTCAGGAAAGTGCTGTACTTACTGACTGTAGTTTTATTAGAAGGGACACAACTGAGGAAGAGCTGACATAGAGATGTGTGTGCAAGGTGTGGTGAGTGTGGGCGCGGCGCGGCTCTGCCTTCTCCCTTACACTGCTCTCCCAGCACCTCGATGTGTCCACCGGCCTGGAAGCTTCCTAGCTCATCGCTTCAGGGTTCTCAGTGAGGTTTCCCTACTTCGGCAGGATTAATTCATTGGCTTCCCCAGCCCTTCTCCCGCCCTGGGGAGTCCAGGAGGTACTATAAAAGCCTAGCCCTCTAAACACTTGGTTGGTTCTCCTAGAGACCAGCCGCCCTTGTGAAGCTGGATAGTGGCCCTGCTGCCCATCCTTCTCATTAGTGTGATTGCCATTAGGATAGAAAAGGGCTCTTAGGAGTAACAAGAGGTATTCCTGTCACACTCAGGGACTTAGGAACTGGGGGCAGAGTCCCCACATGTGTCCTTTATTTTACCACAGACATACGCTCATAACTTGAATTTCTCAACATAAACTGAGATATTTAAAACTCTGCTGTTAAAGAAGAAAATCCTGGGCTGATGTTGAACCCAGTGGTTAATACAGCTACATCCCACATCTGGGTACCTGGCTTCAGTGCCTGGCTCTTGCTCCTGACTCGGTTCTTGCTAGTGTGGACCTGGGAGACCGCAGCAATGGCCCAAGTAGTTAGGCTCCTGCCCCTACCCCTGTGTTGGATACGTGGATTGAGTTGCCAGCTCCTTTTGACCTGGCCCAGCCTAAGCTATTGAAGGCATTTTGGGAATGAGTAATTTATAAAACCACAAACCAATATGGTACTGGCATAAATAGAGACCCATCAACAGTTGGCTTTTAACAAGATTGCCAAGGAAGTTCAAAGGGAGAAGAACAGTGCTTCCAACAGATGATGCTGGAACAGCTAGATATCCCCGTGCAAAAGAATGAAGTTGGGTTCCTACCTCAAGCCACACAGAAAAACTAATTCAAAGTGGGTCATCTAAATGGAAGAGCTAAAGCCATTAAACTCTTAGAACATAGGAATCTATCTTTGTGACTTTGAATTAGGCAGTGGATTCTTAGATATGACACATTGCAAAAGAGGACCTGACAAAAGACAAAGTTGAACTACATCAAATCAAAAACTTCTGTACTTCAAAGATTACCATTAAGAAAGTAAAAACGTGGATCTGGCTGGTGTAGCGGGTGAGGCTGCTGCATGTGACGGCGATGCTCATGCATCCCATTTGGGTGCCGATTTGAGTTCTGGCTTCTCCACTTCCATTCCAGCTCCCAACTAATGCATCTAGGAAAGCAGCAGAAGATGGTCCAAGTGCTTGGGTCCCTGCACCCAAGTAGGAGACCAGGAAGAGGCTCCTGTCTGCAGTCTGGCCCAGCCCTGTCTGTTGCAGCCATCTGGAGAGTGAACCAGTGAACAGAAAATCAATTGAGCAATCTCTCTCTGTGTCTCTGTCTCTGTCTCTGTCTCTGTAACTCTGCCTTTTAAATAAATAACTCTTTTTAAAAAAAATTTAAAAAAAGAAGCCAACCCACAGGATGGATAAGAATATTTGCAAATCATGTATAGTATTTGATGAGGCTTATGTATGTGGAGTTTTTAAAGAACTCTTGGCCGGCACCGCAGCTCAATAGGCTAATCCTCTACCTAGCAGCACCAGCACACTGGGTTCTAGTCCCGGTCTGGGCCCCAGATTCTTTCCCGGTTGCCCCTCTTCCAGGCCAGCTCTCTGCTGTGGCCCGGGAAGGCAGTGGTGAGGATGGCCCAAGTGCTTGGGCCATGCACCCCATGGGAGACCAGGAGAAGCACCTGACTCCTGCCTTCAGATCAGCGCGGTGCGACGGCCGCAGCGCGCCAGCCGTGGCGGCCATTGGAGGGTGAACCAACGGCAAAAGGAAGACCTTTCTCTCTGTCTCTCTCCCTCACTATCCACTCTGCCTGTCCAAAAAAAAAAAAAGAAGAACTAATAATAAAAGGATGGATCCGGTGCTGTCGCGTAACAGGTTGAAATGCCGCCTGCAGTGCCGGCATCCCATATGGGCCCCCATTTGAGTCCTGGCTGCTCCACTTCCCGCCCAGCTCCTTGTCAATGCATCTGGGAAAGCAGCAGAAGATAGGCCAAGTGCTTGGGCCCCTGCACCCACGTGGAAGATATAGATGAAGCTCCTGGCTTCTGTCCAGCCAAAGAGTGGGCCAGCGGGTGGAAGATCTTTTTCTTTGTCTGACTCTTCCTCTCTCTGTGTAGCTATGACTTTCAAACAAGTAAAAAATAAATTTTTCAAAACAAAAGAATAAAAGAACAGTCATGCAATTTTTAAGTGGGAAAAGGATCTGGACAGATATTTCTCCAAAGGTGATGATCTCCAAGCAGCCAAATAAGCCCATGCCAAGATGCTCAGCCTTGGTAGTCACTAGGAAAAGGCGAATCAAAACCACAGCGACTTACTGCTTTAGGCACTAGGATGGCTGTCGTGAGGAGGGCAGACGGAACCAAGTCTAGAGGACAGCATTTGTATAAATCGTGGCACTCATCTCTTGTTGGTAAGGATGTACATGGTGCAGCTGCTCTGGGAGACGTTTGGCAGTTCGTCAAATAGAGGAAATTATCATATGACTCCAGAATTCTTCTGTGTACCCCAGAGAATCAGAAACATACCACACGAAAGTATATGTTAATGTTTCTAGTGACATATTCATAAAGCCCAAAAAGTAGAAACAACTCACGTTACCTATAAACTGATGAATGGGGTGTTGTGTATCCATCAATGCAGTAGTTACCATGATACATGGCAGCTTGCGGGCAACCATGAAAACATTGTGGAAGAAGCTAAACACAAAAGGCCATATTTTGTGGGATTTTCTTTTCCTATGAATGTCCCATATTGATATATCTGTAGAAGCAGAAGGCAGATTCATAGTTCCTGGGTGCTGGGGGAGATGTTGCAGGGGAAAGGAGTGGTAAGTTCAGGTGCAGGTTTAAGGGAGGATGATGTAAATATTAAAGTCAGGTGGGGGGGATAGTTGACCTCCTTCCTTGTGAATATATCTAAAAATGCTCGGTTATGTAGTCTTTAGAGAGGTTAAATTTCATAATTTGTGAATTCTTAGCAATTTGAGTTTGTTTTTTTTTTTTTTAAG